TTGCAAGGCTCGGGGACAAGAACTTCATTCTTCAAGTTACCTGAAAACCATAAGACGGATGGCTGTTATGTGCCTTAGTTAGGTGCCTTCCAGTGCCGTTTAGGGGTTTATGGTTCAGTTTTATTTGTGTTTGACTGTGAGGCTAGGCTTCGGATGTCAAGAGATTTGGGTAAAATCCAAAATCCTTGATGATCTTGCGTTCAGGATGGGCCACCAAGCGAGCATCATGAGCATCAGGTTTGCCCGAGCACGGGACACCAGGCGAGCGTCATGAGCATGAGCTGCTCAGAGCACGGGCCCAGCAAACCCAGCGCGCGCTGCGGACTCGGAAGACGCAGCCAACCCCCCGAGCTGATTTCACTGTCGTCGTTGTTACTTCTACTCTCATGTCATGGGCAGCTTTGGCGGTTGCCGTGACTCTTTCACGTCGTAGCTGCTGTGAACCGGAATGTGCGTGAGAAGAAAAAGCCATTGTCAAATAGCCGTTTTATGTGTCCAAACACAGGGACTTCCTCCCATGGCTATGGATCGTCAGGCACAGTGTGGAGGGTAACAGCCGAGCGGATGGGGGGCTTGGGGCTGCTGACTCATATCTTGTCAACCATGATTTGGGGTTCATGCCAGAGGATTAAGCAAGGTTTCATGGCCGGCCGCCGAGGCTGTCCCAAGAAGACGCTGGACTCCACCTGACCTTGAAATCACTTGGAGAGGTTGGAGCACCAAGTAGCCTGTCAGGCGGCGGCGAGCCGTGACTTCGAGGACTCGAGGACTGAGAAGCGCGCCGGCTGCGCACTTGCGCGGCTGGCTGCTGCTCGGGTTTTGGCGTCCGCAGAATTGATGGTTCAAATACGTTCGGGGCTTTAGGGGTCTAAAGTTGGCTACTGTATTAAGGTTTGGGGGTTGCAGCGGCCGCGACCTAGGGGTCAGGGCCTCTTTCGTTTTGGTGGCACGTTTGACTCGTCGCTCAGGGCGCGCGTCAAAAACCCTTGTCATCAACTCATTGACCCACGTACCTCTCGTGGAATGTAATCGTGAAGGACATTGTAGGATTTGAGGTGTTGTGGTCTTGGGTTTCCTGGTCCGCCAGGGAACTTCGGCACAAAAGACGGGTCCAGGAAGCAAAGCATCTCCCCCAGTTTATTCCCCAGCTGACAGCATCTGCAGCGCAAAAGCGCAACATATGAAAGACCAAACGAAAAGTCCACCTTGCAGTTGCGATTCATGGTTACAGGGTTGTTGCAGCAGCGCGAGAAGCAAGGGCTTGATCAGAGACCTAGTTGCGAAATCTCCCGGGAGGTGTCCCTAGAGCCTCGGGAGCAAGTTGCACGGGCCATCAAATCTATTTTGAGCCTTGGCTCCCTCGTGTGCGCCGTCCGGGAGCACGTGCAGGCAAACGGTCGCCTGTTTTTGTCTTTCGTGGTGCGTTCGCTGACAGGAATGTGGTCAGATGATGCGCAAACGACCGGCATTTCAAGACAGTGCAGTAGTTTAGCACACTGTTTGCGCCCAAGGAACAAGCTGACCGTGGAGAAGTTTGCGGTGTTCTCTCGGAGAAGATTCTGGAATGTGCCTTGACATTCAAGGCTTAAACTGCATGCCTGATACACGCCATGTGATGGCATCGAACAGTTACATGTTGTATGGTTCAGAATCTGCAATAGGCAATAAGCGTGGAACTCCAGGAGTTCGAGTGCACCTTCCGAAAGTAGATTTATCGGCTCTCGGATTCGCGTGAATCGCCGCAGGGGCGTGTAAAAATGGTCTTTGAGGTCGCGGTTGGGGTCGTTGGAGGGTTCAGACTGTTTCCAAAGGATGTGTCAAACTTTCTTTTCGCGGCGCTGGTCTTTGGGGCCCAGACGTGGGCTGCGTAAATGTTTTGGGGTCTGTGGTCGCCGATGGCCCTTTTTCAGGGGCGTGAAGTCTTAGAGAGCGTAGTAAACTTGACTGGGTCACTTCCGTGGTCTGACCCCGTTCCGGGCGAGGAGAAGAGTTGAGTTTAACAGCTAACAACCCCGCGCCGAGGGTGGGGAAGAAAGAAAGACCATGCGAGACCATGCGAGCACGTGTTTGCAAATTGGGGGGCTGCGCCCCCCCAACCCCCCCGCTGTTTTAAGCTGTGAACGATTGAAGCCCATCAGGCAACTTTTTCAAAAAATATGTGCGAGCGTTATGTGCGGCCTCCCCCCCCCAACCCCCCGGCCTTTTTTAGCTGTGCAAGCTTGTTTCAAAGCATATGGGCGATTGAAGCCAGTCATGCCACTGGTTTCGAAGCATATGAACGATTGAAACCCATGATACAGCATTATTTCCCATTGGGGCACCCCCCCCCCCAACCCCCCTGCCTTTTGCCGTGCAAATTTGTTTCAAGCATATGAATGACTGAAGCCCGTCGTGCGATCATGGTGTTTGCAAATGGAGGGGGGCTGCGCCCGCCCCAACCCCCCCGCTTCTTTAAGCCGTGCAAGCTTCTTTTTTCTTCGAAGCATAGGAGCGATAAAAGCCCATCAGGCCATTTTTTCAAAGCATATGAACGATTGAAGCCCATGATGCGAGCATTGTGTTTGCAATTGGCAAGGGCTGCGCCCCCCAAACCCCCCCGCCTTTTTTTGCCGTGCAAGCTTGTTGCAAAGCATATAGAAACCCATCATGCGAGCATTGTGTTTGCAAATGGGGGGGGGAGAGGCACCCCCACGCTTCTTTAAGCCATGTAAGCTTTTGCAAAGCATATGAATGATTGAATGCCATCATGTGTTTGCAAATGGGGGCCTGCGCGCGCACCCCCCCCCAACCCACCCCCAACCCCCCCGCTTCTTTAAGCCGTGTGAGCGAAAGGCATCATGCGAGCATTGTGTTTGCAAATGGGGGGGCTGCGTCCCCCCAACCCCCCACTTCTCTAAGCCGTTCAAGCTTTTTCAAAGCATATGAGCGATTGAAACCCATCATGCCACTTTTTTCTCAAAGCATATGAACGATTGAAGCCCATGATGCGAGCATTGTGTTGGCAAATGGGGGGGGGGGGGCGGGCTGCGCCCCGCCCTCGCCCCAACCGCCTCGTTTTATAAGGCCACGCAAGCTGCATTCAAAGCATATCATATGCGTCTTTTTGAAACCCATCATGCGAGCACTGTGTTTGCAAATGGGGGGTGGGGGCCTGCTTTGTTAAGCCGTGCAAGCTTGCGAGCAACATTTATAAGAATTCCTACGACAAGCAGTACGCATCCTATGAAGACATGGGGGGAACGTAGGAAAAATAAAGAAAATGGACCGTGACCAGTTCCTATGAAAATATAGAGGGAACGATTTTTTTAGGAAAAACCAAGAAAATCGACCAAACCCCTAGGAACATGAAAAAGGGAATGTAGCCTTTTCCTAGGAAGACCAGGGGCCCAGCAGACCAGGGCACCAGGAGACCAGGGGACCAGGGGACCACGAAAAAAAAAAATACTAGAAAAATTCTCGCCCCTTCCCGGGCTTCTCGAAGAAGAGAACCCCGAGTTTGATGACCTTCAATTGGGGGACAGAAGGGCCATTCGCCTTGGCCGGCATCAAATAACCGGTAAACGGCTCGAACTTCGTCGAATGTGTGATGCATCTGTAAGCGGGCAGGATGGCTCGGTCACGTTGGAGGAGCACTTGGCAGCAAGTTTGTTTGTGTGCCGTGGGCATGCCAAGGAGTGTGCCAACTGTGTCTCAATCATGCACACCACTGCCAGGAGTTCACCACAGGGCTGCTGACCATGAAGGGTCCGGCAAAGGCCATCGACGTGAAGGGAATTGCTGCTGGGATGAAACCGGTTCCTTGTGAGAGGACGCCTCCCATACCCGCACCCCTGACACCGCAAACACTCCCGCCACGCACCCCACACCCCCCACAAACCCCGCCCACACCCCCTACGCCCCCCCCACACCCCCCCCCCCCCCCCCCCCCCCCCACACCCCCGCCCCCCAACACGTTTCTGATGCATACTTGCCCACAAGAGGTCAAGCCTTGGATGCCCTCACCCCTAGGGCCCTAAGAACTAGACCTTAAACTCCGGGGGGCAAGTCGGGGCAAGACAGCGCGAGATTGAGGTTTACGATGTGAAGAAGGAAGCACAGAGAACGAAGCGTCGGATGAAGTGCCGAAGCTGCAAGCACTCATCGCTTGCAAGGGGGCTTTGGGCGCAAGTTGCTGCAACCAAGGCGCATTGACGCACAGCTGCGAGACATCAAATCACAAGTTAGTGGAAACACGAATGGAGACGTTGGAGGTTGATTTCAGACGAACCGTCGACACTCCCATCATAAAAAGGTGGCATGGCAGTTGGGGATGAAAGTATCTGGAAGTAGTTTCTTCAATTTCAAATGATTGTGGTATGGAACACAAATTGAGCTGGCTCTTCCTATTGGATTGTCGATGTAGCTGAAAGCCTTCTCTGCGGCTCCTCCGTGACGGCTGCCAGTAGCCTTCGTAGAACCGTAGAACCATGCAAGCCACAGGCATCCTGCGGCCACAGCGAAGTCTTCATCATCCATTCACTTTCTTCTCACATCCATTTTTTTACATTTTCTACCAAGAAGAGCGGTCTCCATCGCTCTCGACAGGATGCCCGTGGCTGCCACTTGCTCATGTCACAGTCCTCGGGGGCCAGAACATGGAACGATGTCGCTGGGAGTTCGATGTTGAGTAGTCAGTGGATTCGCGATCATATGCGAGCATGGGAAGTCGATGACCTCAATGGTCACTGTCAGATCTGTCTTGTGTCAAGGGCCACCGCTGTCCTTGTCTGGTTCCCAGGTCTGGCTAGATGCTTAGCTTCTGTCTCACATCCGCTGCATATGTCGTCAAATGACCATTGCCAGCAGATTTTCGAATGGCGTGTCCGGCGCCTCTCGTCCATGCGCAAACAGCCCATGCCTTGCTTTATGCAGGAAGATTATGCTGGAAAAATGATGGCCTCCCTGACTCCTGCGTTGCCCGTGGCGTGTCGGTTTTCGTTCGCTTTCAAACTGTTTGACAGGTACATGAACGGTTTCCCGATCGGCGTGCAGAAAGATGGCAAGTGCGCGGCATTGGCAGCACAACAACTTGCTTCCTGAAGTTTGCGGAATTCTGCGCCTTAAGCCACGTTGGCAGTCGAAAGTTCTGTGTTTGGAGCGGAGAGCCATGATGGATGGTCCGCAGCACACGAAGAGCACAGCATGAACTCAAGGCAGGCTTAGAAATAGAAAACTGAAAGGGCGCATGGAGATGAAAGGAGATGCATACTTTCGAAAGTGCAGGTACTACCTCTACAACCACTTGAAGCTGGACTTGAAGTACCACTCAAGCGCTCTCGGCGGTGGTTTTTGTAGCGTTTATGGTGGCGTTTGCGGTTACCAGAAGTCCGCCAGGCGATCAGTATGAGGGCCACCGGATTGTGGGCTTCGAGATTGAGCCGAGGAGCATCGTTCAGGCCGTGAGTGGGCGTGCTGGAAGTTGCGATGCGACAGAAGTAAAAGGCTGAGTGTGTGTGTGTGTGTGTGAGTGTGTGCGAGTGTGTGCGTGAGTGTGAGTGTGTGTGAGTGCGTGACCATGTTTTGCCTACTGTGCCTTCGCCAGGCGACGCAGGCCGATCCCAGCAAGCCCGGGGGCTTGAAGGCCGTTTGCCAGGTGCGGGGGCTCTACAGACCCTACAAATACTCTACAGCGCTAAGAGCAGGATGATGCAAGACACATCAAGACGTATCAAGACATGGCCTTTCAAGACATTTTTCAACACATTCCAAGACGTTTCAAGACGCAATAAGAAGCACATGGAACTCATAGAGCCGCGTACTTGTACCGCGAACCACGCACCGCGCAGGAGGGAGCCGATGCTCAGCTCATGGAGCTCGACACATTCAACGCACCCCCGGCAGTTTGGGTGTCTTATTTTCCGATTGTTCCCTTGCTTCTTACCCTTGCTGGCAATGTTCTGTGACCATCTTGGCAGGAAGTCATCTTCTCGTATGACGTAGCTTGGGAGTACAGTGCTCTGCTCAGCCATAGACATGTTTGCAATGTTCGAGAAACTTTTAGCCTCATGGGAGGGTCCTCCCTCCATGCTTTGTCAATCTAAGCTGGGCTCTTCCTTGAGATTCCGTGAGCAGCTTGAGCTTCAGGCGAAGTTCGGTGGGTCTCAAGATGGGACAACTACTTGAAGATGCCCGGCACCCTGGAATCCCTAATTCTCGCAACGGAGGTGACGTGCAGACGTCAGTACCAAGATGCACCAAGCATCCACTAGGTTTTGAGCAGCACCAACTCAGGACCGGGGGTCAGATCCACTGGTTTTCAATCCTGTGCCTGGATTGCACACGATTCAAGTTGCTGCATTTGGCACAGGGAATCGACTCAAGATCTGATAAGGAACTCCCTCATGATCATGCTCTTCCTTTCGGGCATGGCCGGGTGCCTTGAGGACCTCTGAGCGCGGTGTAGCACAAAACGTAGAGCTTCAAGAGCCCTCTTCAGACCGCTCCAGACCCAAGGTCGCCATGATTCTGCTTCGAACTCTTTATCGCTCCTCGGCCTCTTCTGGTCACGAGATGTCACTAGCACATACCAGGCACATACTCCGCACGGGGCGTTACCCGTCGTGCTTTTTTTCACAAATAAGTGTTTGGCCTTAGCGGGAGCACGATTTTGAACGTGGTTTTAGAGTTGTAGTCCAAGAAAAGTGCAAGTTTCAGAGGTCGTTTTGTGGAAACCATGGCAGGCGTGGTACTTTCGGCGATCGCGCGTGGCTTTGTTCGTGTCTTGTTTTGAAGGTGGCTTGCAGGCCGAAAACACTGCGTATGCCGATGCTTTCGTGGCTTCACGTTGCAAAAACGTGGTGTTAGGGCTTATCCCTGCCCTGAATGCTTTGCGGTCCACGGCTCTTCTTGGCCGTATGCAAAGCGCCAAAGGGGGGCAGCAGGCTCCAGGGACTTTGGTGTGTAGGGGATTTGTGCTGGTCCTCCAATTTTGAGGGGTATCGGGATTCGGCACTCCTTTGGAGTGCGCAAGGTGTTTGTAATTGACCCATCGGCACCTACTAGAACATACTAGTACATACTAGCACTAAGCCGCTAAGCCACAACAGGGTCGCGGACAGCTCGTGCACTATATCTATTAGAGCCGGCTGCGAGCCATCGGTCATCCTACCCCGAAGCTCAGGAGACATTACCAAGTACAACGAGCTCGCCACTGCCGAGGAAGCGGCTGAGGAGCCTTTTCTAGCCTGTAAGTGTGCCTTCCATGTCTCCCCTTTCGCCTCCTTCGACTGCGAAAAATCCTTAGGCCTTACAAGCCTTGAATGCCTTGAGCAGGAGACTGGCTGGAAGCTCGTCCATGGCGATGTCTTCCGCAAGCCGCGATTCGGCCGCTGGGCAGAAAGAAAAAGTAACGTTGTGAAGTTGCGAAACGCCGTAAGGCGGCGCGACAGACAGCCTGGTCCCTTTTATCCTGACCCCAACGATGGGCGACAGGTAATGGTCATTAATGGTCAGTAGGCTTGCAGTGCACTTGGCTCTGAGGCAAGCTGTTGGCAGTGTCGGTAGGCTCCGGAGTCTGGGACTGAGATGCTGTCACGTCACGTTTTATCACGTTCCTTTCACTGATCACGTTTCCCTGTCCCCAGAGCCGAAACCAAAATGTGCCTCATGTGCAATTGATTCCAGAAGAAACATCATGTGTGTGTGTGGCTCTCCAAGCAACGCATGTATTGTGGAGTTTGTTGAAACCTCTCTGAAGTATTCATGGCCCAATGTTGGACTCGACCGACTCAGTGCCTGCTACAAGCCGGGCTTCGCACGTTCTTCGGCTCAGTTTACCGATTTCCCTTATTTGCTTCCCAGCTTTCCCAACGCTTTCTAAGACCGAATCTTATGTTAAGTCCAACAGCATCACAAGCTTGAACCCTAGGCACCAGGCGTAAGAGTGGTCACTGTCATCGCCATCAACGGCGAGACACTTCTGAAGGAGTCTCCGGTGTCTTCGATTGCGGACTTGACCCAGCAGGCCATGATCGAATACATACCCTTTGGTTACCCTCGGTTGCTTGTAACGACGGTAACCATGTTGCACTCTGTTCATGATGGTTCGAGCCACAGAGCATGCCGCTGTTGCAGAGGTACAGGCGAAGCTCAAGTCCAGGAGTTGTTGCTGCTTGACGGCTGATGGTCGCGTGGTCACGGAGCTGGAGCAGATTTCTGCAGAACTTACAGCAGTGGCACGCGATGTCAACCCGCTTCTCAGCAGAGACTGAAAGCAGCTACTGGTAAGCCACCTGCCGCGTGAGACTTCCGCCCTTCATGCTTCGTGGCGTAGATATGCTGCAGATTTGCAGTGCAACTTTACAGGTTGTTGCAGCTGGTGGGACTTCAAGACAAAGACGGAAACTCAGCAAGTGAGACTTGCTCTTCAAAGGACACCGGCTCTGAGCTTTGGATGCTGTTACCAGACGGCGCACAAATGAAGCAGCCTGTGGAAGAACGCAGCGCATCTCACTCAGTGCCTTGCAGGATCTCGAGATCATCGCTCTTCAGATCGCTGTCCGCTTGACGCGGACAGCCTGCTGGTTTGTCGGGCCCGGACATCTTTGCGGCTACCCTACAGCCTCCAAGCTGAAGAGCCAGTTTGGAACGGAGAGGAAGAGTTTAGGTAATTTAGGTTCATGTCGTCGGACATGGTTAGACTGAAGTTTTGAACCACAGCTTCGAGGTTGCCTGGGACTGGGACGATGTCCTTGCAGCACCACCATCGCACTTCACCACTGTCCGGATCGGGTGCGATGGTGTCAAGCAACATATGAGAGTGGACTTTTCGACTCCGGTTGTGAGCGCTGGTGTGCGAGTCATTGTAAACGTCAGGGAGGGCTCTCCGCTGTCAGAAGCTGCTCGTGACTTTGTCACAACGACAAGCCTCACTGTCCAAGACATTGTCGAAATCCGACTCTGGCACACTGTGGAAAGTGCTGTTTGTCAAATACAGTTTTCTTTTGTTGTTCAGACGGTGTCCTCACCTTGCTCGGTTCGAGCCGTTCTTGAAAGGAAGAGCGCACCAACGTGCATGTGATGCCAATCGAGACGAACTTCTGGCGCTGCAGCCGCAGGCGGACACAGTAGATGCTCTCATCATGCTTCTCGGCAGACTTTAGACTCGAGCGATAGAGTCGGTACATGTCAATATACATACCAATGTAGTGCTTGAGCATGGTGCCGTCTGGCCAACAGATTTCTTAGAGTCGTGAGTGGAACAGACCAAAAGATGCAAGATGAAACCCCTGTGCGCAGGTTGTGCGAATACACACCCGATTTAGTCCATTTCGAAGTCTTCCATGACATGTGACTTGGTGGGCAAGGCAAAGTCAGTTGTGCTTTGAATTCGGTTAAAGCAAATGTGTGGAGGTGTTTTTGGCTGGGCGAGGTACAATGAAGAAAAAGAAGGTTACTTGTAGCCTGATTGCATATGCTGCGCCAGACTGGTGAAGGGAGCTGTTGCTCACGGGTGTCACTTCGCAGACGACGCTCCGTGCTGCCAAACGTGCTGCGAAGTTTGGAATCTGCGAGCTTCAATCTCATGACTGCAAGAACATGGGTTTGCTTCAATCCACGCGAGAGGCTGGCTGTCCTTGGTCCTGGTGTCGCTACAATTTTAATTTGCTAAGCTTCTTTCCCAAATCATCCCCTGGTGTTCACCTGGAAGATGCTCAGATATCAGCTGCCGGCAGCTTTTCGACATAGACTGAGAAGTACAAGGGCAGAAGGCCACATGCCTGAACGTGCAGACTCCCGTCCAGAAGTCAACATTGAGCTATCATCACCGCTATCCTCTGCAAGAGAGTCTGCTGCTTGCGGGAGACGATCAGCTGAGCATGGAGAAAGCCTGCAGACAAAGCGGAACCTTGCTGACCTTCGATTGTGTTCTCTCTGTCGCATGTTTCTTGGTGCGGAGCATCAAGCGCGGCGAGCCTGGGCCCACACGTGGCCAACGGTTTCTCGGTCCTGCTACTAGCTGCTACCGAGCTGCTGCATGTGGGAACATGTGCAGATTGTGCAGACAAGTTGACATCTGCTTGTGGAGATCATTGACTTTCTCTGCGCAGAGTGGTGCTTGCGCAGCATGACTTGGCCGTGAGATTTTCATAAGTCTGGTGCCGCATCCTTTGTAGCCTTACTGGTTGCTCCCAGGTGCAGATCTTGGGCATGTCCGTCGTGACACTCATCTTCGCGCTCCTAGGGTTTCTTTCGCCAGCTCATAGGCGCGGGGCTGCTGAGTGCTTTTAGTCACGGCGCGCGATGCGCGATCGAGTGCTTTGAGTCAAAGAGCAACCGAGCAATTGGGCGTTGCAAAATGGGCACGTGCTCGATTGTCTTTGAGGGGCGGCCTGCTTCAATCGATGATGATGCTCTTCACCTTCATGGGCGTTGCCGGACTGCATGTTGCTGACTTCCGCTGTACGGCCAGCTGGCACATCATCTGCTTGTATACATTTATTCTTTATTGTCCGAGGTGTTTGGTGGTTATGCCTCAGCGCAAGACTGAGCTGTGTGTTCCGCAAAGAGAAGCATATCTTCGCGCAGGACTTCTGCAGTGTCTTACACTGTCTTACACGGGCCCCACGTACATGATCCCCGACTCACATCGAAGCCTCGTGCAAGTGTCTTGCGCCAAGGCACGACTCTACAAGGCCATGTGAACACGGACCGGGTGACAATTTCCGGCTGAATGCGTCGGTTCCAGTGCATGCTATCGATTGCTCTGTCTCCCGCATGGCGTACTGTGCGACCGGGTTGTAGGAGTGAGCCGGAATGGTGTTTCGAACCCACGCAGTAAGTCGGTACGTCCGCTTGACATCTTTAGCATATCGTAAAGGAAACCGTGAAGGGAGCATCGCCAGGCTGCTTCTTGAAAAGCCTTTGTCCTGCCCAGTCGAGGTGTTCAATGGGGAGGATTGGAAGACCAATACGCTGATGACTGCCATGCTTTACCCTGGGCGACCTGGCTTCCTAAGTACAGTGGCATCCTGACTGGCCATGCATGCATCTTGACCGCTTATCTGTATCGGGAACCAAGTAGCCTTCACCAGGTGTGACTCGAAGATTCTTTGAGTGTACCAGTTAAACCACTTGTACTGTGCATGTAAGATGCTGCTACACAGGGCACGCCACTTTGCATCTCGGCCTCTGAGGGTCATTTTCCTGGTCTTCTTCGTGCTCAACCTTTTCATCTGGGGGCAGAAGTCGTCCGGTGGCCAACTGAGATTGCGAGTGAAGATTGATTCGCAAAACATATGCCGCAAATCAAGCGCCCACGATTCAGAAAGCAAAGAGGGACACATCATACAACGCAGAGGGTGAATCAGCAAGCGAGCTCAGCATTCTTGGACATGCATGCTCAACACCTTTCCTTGTGTCAGCTACATACCATACACCACACCTTCCAAACAGTAGTCGTCTCCCCCTCCAAGCCTATTTAAAAGATCCGTCGGGCGCGGCCCCCCAACCCCACCCGACCCCACCCAACCCACCCCACCCACCCCACCCACCCCACCCACCCCACCCCACCCACCCCACCCCACCCACCCCACCCACCCCACCCCACCCACCCCACCCCACCCACCCCACCCACCCCACCCCACCCAACCAACCCAACCCAACCCAACCCAACCCAACCTACCCCGAGTCTGAGAATTTCCTGGACTGAACGTTTGGAGTTCTAGAGCTCGAGAGTTCTGAAGGTTGAAAAGCCTCGCAAAACACACGCAAACTCTTTCCTCACCTGCAACCTCGCTCCAACGGTGGCATCATTTCCTCCGCTCCCCTTATCCAGCCGACAATCAACTCAGACTACCCGAGCCTGACCCAACCTCAGCACCATACAGCGCATCGACACCTGCCCCGCCCAAGCGAACGGGACTTTCGTACCTGTGCGCGGGCAGGTCAACCGTCATTCCTTTTCAAAAGAAGGCAGTCCCTTACGCCCAGTTTCAACATACTCTAAACTTAACATAGCCGCACCTAAACCTAAGCTTGGCCGAAGCTTACCCGACCCTAACTAAACCTAACCAAACCCAGCAGCTAGCAAGCTTCAGCCCGACACCCTAAGCCCAGCAACTTTTGCCCTTGCTGAGAAGACCTGAGGAGCAGGTGAAGGGCTTAGGGTGCTGGGCTGAAGCTTGCTAGGATAGGTTAGGTTTTATGTTATGCGGTGCTGCGATGCCACACAAGCGCGTTACATTTGTGCCCGGCTATTTGCTGACTTGCCCTTCGCTGTTTTATGATGCGACTCTTTGTCTTACGACTGTGCATGATTCGCCGCGTGCATGCATGTCATATGTCAAGCAAAAATGCTGAGGGGCAGTTCCCTTCACGACAATGTTTGCGATTCTCGTCCTCTGGTTCGGCATCTCAGCCGATGGCTCAGGTTTTGCACTTCTGGAGTTGTCTCCGAGAGAGTGTCAGAATAAAAAGGGGTTGTCAGCATGACTCGTTGATCTCCTGTTGGGTGCTCCTTATCGCCTTGGAGTACTCGAAGGGAACATGAATCGAACACAGGGCCCGATGTAGCCAATGTAGCCTGAAACAGCCTGGAACCTTTCTCAAGACTGAGGTGCCACTAGTCTTCTTGGGTTCCTATTTTGGATTCCGGCGCGAGGCAGGCCCGTGGCAAGCCACAACGCCACTAGAAGAGACAGCACGGACACCAGCATTTTGAGGCACTTCGAGGCATTGTGTTACAGACTGCACGTGATGTAGAGAATGAGCGACGGCAGCTGCCTTCATCACCAGCTTCAAGAGACATTGAGCAGACTCACGGGGATAGACATGAAGAAGAGAGGGCCTTCCTCGCTTGAGATGAACGGAGGGCTCTGCCATGCTTTGCCAATGCTCTGCCGCTTATTCGGACCAAGCCTGGGCCGGAGTACCGTGGCAGTGCCTTTGTGGCAGTGCCTTTGTGGCCCGTGCCTTTGTGGCCCGTGGCCCTTACCCGTACCCCCTAGTGGCCCCTCGTACCAGCCTTACCATCAGTTACCGTTCTTGCGCTGTTCTTGCCTCCTTGCAAGAACCTTGAAGTGCAAATGTATGGTGCTTTCAGCATCTTCTGCCTTTTGAACACCTTGGGTGTTGCAGCATCGAGTCCTTGCGTGGGAGCATGCCAAAGTCCATCGCTGCTGCAGGCACGTGCCTACAGGAACTTGGCAGTGCAGCCATCGGAAACTCCTATTGTGACATCTTTGTCGACCACCTCGGCGCAGACATCGGTTGCTACGTCAGCCGAGACGTCGCAAACTGCCGAGACGCAACTGGCGAGCACAACCGCCCGCACTGTCCTGGCAGCAACGACTACCACTGTTAGCAGCACGATGCTGCCGTCTACCACCATGCCAGATGCCGCGACATCTAGCACAACCTCGTCGACTTCACTGGCACCCAGTACAACCGGCTTAACCGGCTCAACCACCGCAACCGCAGCAGCATCATCTACGACGTCTAGCGCGGCTTTGTCGACCTCAGAGGCAGCCAGCACAAGCACAGCCACATCAGCATCTATTGCCGAGAGTAGCACGTCCACCCCGCTGCCCGACGCCGCGACATCTAGCACAACTTCGTCGACTTCACTGGCACCCAGTACAACCGGCTCGACCACCGCAACCGCAGTGGCATCAACTACGACATCTAGCACGGCTTTGTCGACCTCAGAGGCAGCCAGCACAAGCATAGCCACATCAGCATCTATTGACGAGAGTAGCACGTCCACCCCGCTGCCCGACGCCGCGACATCTAGCACAACTTCGTCGACTTCACTGGCACCCAGTACAACCGGCTCGACCACCGCAACCGCAGTGGCATCAACTACGACATCTAGCACGGCTTTGTCGACCTCAGAGGCAGCCAGCACAAGCATAGCCACATCAGCATCTATTGACGAGAGTAGCACGTCCACCCCGCTGCCCGACGCCGCGACATCTAGCACAACTTCGTCGACTTCACTGGCACCCAGTACAACCGGCTCGACCACCGCAACCGCAGTGGCATCAACTACGACATCTAGCACGGCTTTGTCGACCTCAGAGGCAGCCAGCACAACCGACTCAAGTTCATCGTTCAACAGCACAACTGATTCGCCTACCAGCTCATCAGCGGAAACAGCAACCTCGACCACAGCTTCCACAACGACATCAAGCTCTGGGCTGGAGTCATCAACGAGTACCACCGGTGGACACACAGCTACCACAGAGGAGCCAACAGCTGTACCATCCGCAGCGGCTGTCACCTCCAATCCTACTGCTTCCAGCACGAGTGCGGGTGTCTCTTCAACGGGTACAACGGCGAGCGCGGCGAGCGAAGCCTCACCCGTTCCAGAGTCACCGAAGTCCGGAGCATTCGGGGCCTTCTCGACTCCAGGATCTCCGGGCCTTCGAGGCGTGCTGATGTTCATACATGTCCTCCTGGGCGCCTTCTGGGGATGTTGAGTTCTATGAGAGCCCTTGTGAGACCTCCTCGTGTGACGCCAGCTTTGAGATTGCAGGCAAAACATGGTGCTGCGATGAACTGAATTGCGCTTGATGGTGGTTTGCGACACAGAGATTCGCAGTTCGGGAGCAGTACAGTAGCCTCTCAGTAGCACATTACAAGTCCAGAATCTATAAATGGTATTTCACTACCCGTCTCTACCCCCTCTTCTTTGTAAGCAGGCTATCGCGCTGCCGGTGCGCACGAATCACGTGCCAAGGCTGGCTTGGCTGCGAAGCCTTCAGCCTCTCCCGAATGTGCCTGAAGCACTTTCTGTAGAATCCATGACCGCGCCGGCATCCACGCCGCACCACACCTTGGTAACCGGGGGCAGCATAATATTGGGAGAGCTGGTGCAGGACATGTCATATCACATCCATGGACCAGATGGTGAAAGAAACCTGACTACAAACATAGCAAAATAAACCTGCCAGTTGGCCTGTGGTAGCTGGAAGAGCGAATCGCTGAAGCTGGGCTCGGGCCTTTGCCGTTGTCCCCTTTGCCCTTCACCGGGCGGACCAAAGCGAAGCCGAGAAGGGAGCTACTCGACGAAATGAATTAGAGCATATAGTTATGACATGGTTATGACGTGTAAAAGGCGGTTCAAAGCTGCCGGTAAGTCGAGTTGACCCTATGCCGCTGCAACAGTGTGCGGATGCACCTAAGGTTAAGTGGCGCCATTTGCGGGTCGGCAGCTGTCTCAGACGGTCAGCTGCTGCAGCCCTGCATGAGGGAAACCGTCAACGCACATCGCAGATCAGTGACATCGAAGCCACTGACAGCTGAGGACTTGACACGATGCCAGGCTCAACAGCTGCCCAATCAATCGGCAGCATGAGAAGCCAGTCAAATCGGTATCGCAACATGTTTCGCAATACGCTGGCAATCGAGTGCGCAAGAAAGAACCCTTTCTGTCCCTTTCTACACCAGTTTCGAGAATAGTGAAGATGGAGAGGAACGACGGACAGAGTGCTGTATGGCAACCAAGGCACACTAAATACGAATGCGGACATCGATGAAACGCTGTTCGGCAATGCCTCTCGCTTGAAGCATCGCGGAGCGGCATCGCTTTGCTAAAAGGCTGAGCAGAGCCGTGTAGGCAAAATGAACAAGGATGCATGATGGATTCATCCGACATTGCTTGAGGCTCATAACAAGACCATGCCCAAGCCAGCAGATGGCAAGGCACGGACATAACCTAGACGTAGCTTCCATCTTAGTTTTGCTGAGCCGTCTCGAAAGCATCGCTGGCAGGAAGTCATGATCGTTGGCAAGGATACAGTCATGGTTCGAAAAAGGTATGACAGGCCGGTGATGTTTCCTTTTCGCACCTTTACATCACTGTACGCCTGCAGAGCTGACAGCAGCAGTGCAGCAATGAAGCGGCAAGTCTGACAGACACTGACATCATCTAACGGACTCGAGAATCTTCCTGGGTCTGCGGCTGTGAGCTTGCAGTAGGCTTGTGGGTCTTGTTACTCTTGTCTGTCCGTGCACGAGCCTTCCTGCGCAGACTGCCGACCTAAGGCATCCTTTCTGAAGCACTGTTTGCGCACATTGGTGCACCCCAAAACTTTCTTTAAAGGTCACCCCCCCCCCCCCCCCCCCCCCCCAAAGTTGATCTCCATGCCAGGCACAACGCGAAAGCCAGTCCAAAGGAGTCTGGGTTGTGTGCATGGCGAATAGGTGGCGGGTGCCGTTTCTGACTCTTCTAACCAGGCACCGTTCGGTAGAATGATAAAGTATCCGTCGCCAGGGTAGTCACTTTGCAAGGAGCAGGCCGTTGTCATCGCGGCCTCCGAGCTCAACCGCTTGCGCCACTGGGCTGCTTTGGAATTGCCTTGCAGTGGCGTGTGCACCATGCGGCATGTCACATCATGGCACATCTATGAGCATTCATCGGTGCAAAGCTCAACCAAGGAGAGAACGCGAAGCTCTTAACCAAGGAAGAGGACGGCTCGACTTGTTAGAGGGAACGCCTTTGCTTTGTCGTGTCACAGTGCCTGCTGGGCAGAAACATGATGAATCTGGAATCTCCATGCCTGGGTGCCCACCCCTAGCTCCCAGGAAATCGAGCAGAAGATGCGCGAGGAGGAGGTGCGGGTCTCAGGATTATAGTCTCCTGGGAGGCCCGGGCCCGCCAGGCCGTAGGCCCGTAGAGCCCGAAGGGGCCGTGGAGCCCGTAAGCCCCCGGGCTTGGGAGTTTGGTTTCTTGGTTCAGGCCTCTACGATTGGCAATTCCCACCCTAAACCCTGAACCCGAGACCCTAAACCCGAGACCCTAAACCCTAAACCCTAAACCCTAAACCCTAAACCCTAAACCCTAAACCCTAAACCCTAAACCCTAAACCCTAAACCCTAAACCCCAAACCCTAAACCCTAAACCCTAAACCCTAAACCCTAAACCCTAAACCCTAAACCCTAAACCCTAAACCCTAAACCCTAAACCCTAAACCCTAACCCTAAACCCTAACCCTAGTAGGAAATCAGAGGAGGGGGGCCAGAAAAGGGGGGCAGAAACACGTTTGTATGTAGCTTTGTTTGTGGTGCTTACGAATCCAGTCGCAAAGGGCCCACAATGACCATCTTTACCAGCAGGTTTTGGGTTTGATTCGGGTGTAGGGTTTAGGTCAAGGCCCCCGTAGGGCTGTTCGACAAGGACATCTTACGAGAATCGGAATTAGGTCGTCCTATACACCCTTACAAACCCTCGCAACCCTATGCTGCTACGAGGAGCCCCTAAGTGGCCCTCCAACGGCTGTAACGGCTACAACCCAACCCTCGAGCAAGGGTGTCGCCGAAACCTCACCTTTGGGGTTAGTGTTCAGGGTTTGGGGTTTAGGGTTTCGGGTTTAAGGTTTCGGGCTTAGGGTTCAGGGTTCCACAAGCCCTAGACGCTCCTCCGGCACGGGGCCCGTACAGGCCCCAGCAGAGCCCAGCGCCCGTAGGCCCATAGAGGACCCGTAGAGGGCCCGTATGCGACACTACAGACCACCGACCGTCTGAGCGGTCCACTCTCAGGCTCAACATGTGCAGACTTGGTGCCACAACGTGTTAGTGATGTGACCGAGGCCCTCGCCGAGCGCCAGGCGAAGTCCATCGCTAGAAAAGAGAAGATCCGGCACCTCGCCAGAGTAGTAACAAGGAAGGAGATGAGGGCTGAACATGTAAGGATAATTGTGGATACGCAGATCAGAGTAGGATTGCAAGATGTATCATACGACTTACAGTGAGTTCTCAGTCGAGATTCGCTGCAGGCAAATGGAGGAGGAGCGAAAAAGAAATGCCATCCAAGCTGAGACGGCCAAGGCTCGTAGCTTCCAAGTCAGACATTCTCTCTCGGATTCTCCCTCTCCGATGCTCTCTCGGATACCTCCCCGATATCTTTGGCTGCTGGAAGGATGCCCGAGGGGCCAAGGGCGGAGTGCTCGAGAGAGCAAAGCAGCTCGACCGAACTTAGCTCGGCTTCGCCGGCTTCGTGGAATGTACCTAGGGGTCTGTTGAGTCTATTGTTGCCCGGCTTTGCTGTGACAAAGCCTGCACGCTCCAAGGCAGATGCTTGATGAGGACATGGATGACGCGTCCTGTCTCAATCGTGAAACACCATCTCTGCGCTGACCTAGTGCAGATAGCTGTTCAAGCAAGACCTTCCCCAGGTGAAGCACATGAACCAGATGATGCTCTACTCCAAGATAGTGACTATTCGCGATGCTCAGATACAAGAGAAGCACCTGGGCTGTACATTCACCTAGGGCCTAGGCCTCGTACACACATCTGCGAGCATGCGCACGCGCGCACTCGCACGTCGCACCAGGATCTTACAAGTACAGCAAAGGGATGAGGCTTGCGGCCGCCAAACAGCGTGCAGAGCTTGAAGCCCGAACATGCGAGGTGGATCCTGCTAGAGGAGCATGCGCAACGCCCTTCCCCCCGCACACACGCGTGCGCAGGCACACGCCAACGCACACGCACAGTGCTGCTGCAACCACTGAAGCAATGGGAAGATGCACAATCCCCCGTTCCAATCTGCACGAACCCTTGCAATCAATCGAAGTTGCCAGCAGAGAGCACTAACATCATTACACAACTCAAGCCTAGCGACCGTGGTCCTGCAGTGCCAGTCAGAATCTATTGCAAGTTGCAGCACTTTCGGAATGGGCAACCAGGGTGCGCATGTGCATACCAAGCTTCAAGCCTTCGAGTTTTCCGGTGCCGTGCCGGTGCTTGGTAGTTTTGAAGCTGTAGTCAGGTTAACGTGAACTAAGGCGAATGGTGCAAGCGGAGAAGGAAGAGGAGGAGCACTGCACAAATTCCGTTTGCGCCGTAAAGCTGCCCCGATTCCCATCTTCCAACCGCGACAAGATGCAGCTTTCGATTCTGTTTCTTATATCTGGTTCCCAGGAGCGCCACCTCGATGCGATGATGGAAATCGAGCGCCTCAAGGCCATGAACAAACCTTTGAACTTGGATTGTTTGGGCACTGAAGGCACGTCGGGGCGTGAGAGAGGTGGGGGGGGGGGGTGAGTGGCTTGAGCCAGGCATTGAAGATGTACGAAGTCCGAGAACAGGACCACCTATCTGTCTCATCTGCCTTCCTCGTGCTTCAGTTGAGCTTGCGTAGAAGAAGCTTGTTGCAGACGCCATAGGGCTGAATAGTCCAGGGGGTTGTTGCGTCGCCATGCGATGCAGGAGCGAATGCAATCCCAACGGGCCGGTGCCAAGGTGATCATTGAACAGATCAAGGACCAAGTCAAACTGCCAAAGGTGCAAATGCTCGGACTAACCGCGTGTCCTGTGAGGATCGGCAAGCGCAGCGCATGAAGGAGGAAGAGTCGCGGGATCAGGCGCAAGAGCCAGCCCCACACCATCATGCTGTCACGTCCTCCATGCACTCGGAACCTCGCAAAGACACTGTGATGTCTACGGAGGAGCGATCTTTTGTGCTGAAGCAGATCGAGTCCCTCAAGGCTGAGGAGGTGGAGCAGCAGCACCGCGTCTTCAGCAATCAGAAATTGAACGCCGCGGCGACGTCAATAGCTTCCAGTTCGGGGCCTCAAAGGCCCTGCTTAATCTCTGCCTGATCCTTGGTCATCATGGCAAAACTTGCAACCCTTCTGAAAGTGCCCAGACATCTCGTTGTTTTCCGATGAACTTGCCCTCCGGTCCGGCGAAGAAGTGCGAGAATGTGCGAGAACCTGCTTCTATCTTCATTTTCGATGT